GAGAGCTCCAAAGGAGCACAGACAAAAGCTTTCAAAGTAATATCTTGTATTTACTAGCATTAGGTAAGCAAATTAAGTAAGCACACTATTCAGAAAAACACTCTTCCTGTGTGCTCTTCACCTACTATTAGGTAAATTACTACGTACTATTAGCAATCACAAAAATCCTTCAAAAAATATAGAGAGCAAAATAAATTAAAAACTGAAGAGCAGGAGAGAAACTGAAACAATCTTCATTTGATTTAATGCAAGCATGATGCAAAGATCATGCTCAGATTTGTCACAAATTAGGTAAAAAATGTGTTTGTGCACAAAATGTCCAGTCTGTGCAAAGTTTAGGTCTCCTGAAAACTAGAATAAATTCCCTCGTGGTTATGCAGCTTAAGAGAAGAGCTGTGCAAGGGTTTTTCCATGAGCAAAAACTCATCAAAATGATTCTGGAAGCTAGTGAGACTCCAGGACTAGAAAAATGGAAACTGAATTATTCCCAAAAGGAGACAGAAAACATTTAGGGCACCACAACTAGGACAGTTTATTTAACAACAACTTTGTTAAGTTGTTGACTCATCATCTTTCACCCTAAGAAAAGAAGTCAACAGCCAGCTTTGATATCATAAGAGCAAAATTTTTTCACTTCTGTAGCTTCCATAACAGCACCCACAGGAACCACTAGAGGTATCTTGATTTCATCTGCTTATGGTACAGATAATATTTTGCAGTAGAGGGAAAGGGGGAAGAAAAGTAAACTCGGCAGACTATAGGTGCCAGGAGAGACATGAGGAGGGAAGCAGAGCTTGTAGACCTGCAAGCTTGATGCAATAAATCATGCACACTGTGATGTGAAAACACGTATTAATCATTTCAGTGTCATGCCTGAGAAACCAAAACAACAGAAATCTCACCAGGCAGAAGGATCCAGTCGCAACACAATTAAGCCTTGATGTGGAGACACTGAACTCTGCAGACCTACCACAAGGCCAAGGGTCGTCTCAGAGGCAGAGCAGAATTTGTGCAAGACTCAAGTCCTAGTAGATAGTTTAAGGACTACTGTCAAACTTGCGCCAATAGAAACATGAAAAAAAGGGGTCTCCTACAGAAAGAAGACTTTTTATCTGGAGGGCTAAAGGTGTCCGATATTTATAGCATAACTACAGCATGCAGCGAATTGGAAACTGGTAAAAAAAGCAGGGCTCTAATTTTTATTTAGTTATGAAAAGACAAAGTTAGGAGGCCTTACTTGTTTCAGATTGGCACAATTATGAAAAAATCAATCAAAACCCTTTTAGCACAAAATAAGTGAAATATGAGGCAGTCATTTATAACCCATTTATACATACCTTTACCTATACATGAGTAAACAAGTTATAAATACAAGGGAATGCAACACGTGCATGAAGTCTCAACGTAGATACTACAAAAAATGAAGAGACAGTGGTGCATTCAAGCTTTCAGATTAAATCACTAGATATACACTAAATTTATAAAACCTTTTTCTGAAACAGGTATTTAAGCATGAATTTGACTTTCAATCAGCTTATTTGAGGAAATAATTTTGTCCTCAAGTGCACAAGCAACACCCTGTACGCATAAAAGGGGACATTTTAAAATCAAAACACTGRCATGCACAGAAATGCATGGCTCCACAAAAGCAGTTTTCTTTCATTTAAAAGGAACAAATGCATCTCTGTAAAACAATCTTGTTTGAAAAGAAACTAAGGACAGTGTGAATGTTGAAGTTTATCAGTGTATTTCTAACTTGAGTCAACCTAATTTCGCCAAGACCCATCTAGAGTGCTGATAAGAGCTGAAGAACACCAAATGAACAATAAAATTCAGTGAAAAATAAAATAGGCAGTGCAAATTAATCTGTAAATAATAAAAAGACCTTCCTCAAATATTCTTGCTCTCCTCCTGCAAACAAAGAATACCTTGGAAATACTTTGCCAGCTACAGTCTGTAGTAAAGGGTATTGGATTACTCACCTGCTGTAGCCTGAAAAAGGCAGAATTCCTTCAAATCTTCATTTTAACAGTTGGAGGCTTTTATGCTTACTTAAATATATGTAATCAGATATCATCCACACAACAGTGGTCACCTGTACCGCACTATGCCTCCAACTGCACTGCCCCATTATGAAAGTCTACTCAATCTCCCCCTTGAGCTAAGACTCCCCGGAAAGGCTCTTTTCCATTTATAYTCTTGGGAAATACTTAGAATCAATTTCTTAAAAAAAAGGCTAATGATTCTAAACAGCCAAGAAGTTAAAAATCAGCAACTACGCATGCAAGTTTTGGAGGTGAGAAGAAAAGGTGCAGATACTGGGGTGAGGATGAGCAATGTGATACTCCCAGAGAACTTGGTCCTATGTGTTCTGAACTATTGCYCAGCCAAAAACGCGTTTTTTGTCTTGCTAATGAGTATCTACCATCACAGAGTGGGAAAAGAGAAAGCTGTATAAAACTAAAATCTCTAAGGCCTAGCAAAAACTTCCATTATTGGTACTTCAAAGCTGGCGTGCACGGGAAAGGAGAACAGATCCGTACCCTTTGAAAGCGATTCCCACGTAGCAGGTCCCAGAGTCACCCATCTGTGCAACTCAATCTTGTTCAAGACCGAAAGAGATACCCACCACCTGTACCCTTCCCACTCTTCTGATTCTGATTACAGCCCCAAAAGCCCTTCCCCAAAGCACAGATTTTCAGATTTGCTTACAGGACTGCACAGCATTTTAGGAATMACTTACCCAGTGCTGATAGGGGGAAAGAAGAAAGAAAAGAGGAATCTTTTCAGTGGTAAAGTTACTGATGGTAGAACATTGCACAAGGGCCTGAGCTTGCTTTTCTCAGGAACTATTTACTTGCAGTGCTTTCTTCATTCAGTTGATTTTCCATCCAGCAACATCAGTTAGTCAGAGATGGTRTTTTTTCTACTCCTGTATTTGTTTTCCTTTGTCAAGGCTTTGCCAAATCACACCAAATACTTTGGGAACCAGCTTAGGTCACTTGGATCAAGCCTCTCAACACAAGGAATGAAGGGTGATGCAGAGGCAAAGAGTTAACCTCCTTTCACATAGAAGGGGAACTGGAAAAAGTTATGACAAAGTGATGTCCCAYAGGATTTTAGTTACTGTTACCCATTGCAGTAGATTTTTAGGCCTGAAGGCCCAATATTTTGAGTGTGCTACTCRGAGGCATTACCATGTTTGAAGCCTGCTCTTATAATTTAACTGGAGCTGCAATAAAGTGCTTGTTTTGTGCATAAAAGCAGATGTGATCACACAGTTTCAGAATTGCTCTCCTTCCTACAATCTCTTTATTACAGAAGAAGAAAAAAGGGGAAAAAAAGATGTTTTTAGAGCTTAGCAACRTTTTAGGAGCCTACTAAAAATATTAAATAATACAGTAATCAGAGCCTGTCTGGAAAAACAAGATTCTTTAGGGTTGCAGAAGGCTGTGTATCAGAAGAGCTTGGACACTGTTTCTCAATCTAAGACCCCTTTACATGCAGACTATTGCAAGAGAATAGCTTGCATTACACTTCTGATAGAGATTTTGCTAGTTCTATTTGTTTAACATGGAAGGAATTCAGGTATTATATGAATAGCACTGGAAAGCTAATAACCAGACTGTTAAAAAGAAGAGCTCATACCAGAGTATTTAGTGTCATTTCGCATCAGATTTTAAAACAAGTTGCAGTTTTGAGTTTGCTAAACACCATATAGCAGTTCCAAAATATTAAGGTTTGGCTATCTGTGCTTAGTACTCTGTTATCCTATTAGGAACAACTGGTTTTCTTTAGGATTGGATGCTGCCCTCCAGCCCTACTACTTGGCGCAGTCTGTGGCAAAGAGAAATCATTTCTCACRTCAGCTGGAGCACTGCGGGAGTCCATGTCCATCAACAGAGCAACCGAGTAACCTGGAACCAAAACTTGCTGAGGGTACCCAACCACCTGCATGATATTTTAAATATCCTGAAGCATCTGGAGTACCTGCATAGAGCCAAATATTGCACAGGGACCACACAAATCCTGTGCAAAGCTGGAGCAGCAACCAGTCCAGGGTTCCTAAAAATGGCACAGGATCTACACTTGGGTGGGTTCATGTACTCCAAAATGAAGAAAGAGCAAAACAATTGCTTAACATAAGAGGATGGGTGAATGTGCATAACTAAGACCATATATAAAGAAAATGAAGCTTCTAATACCTGCAGAAATACACTCRTTAATGCATAGCCTTCACTTTTACTAAAACTAATCCCAGTGTGTTTAAGGAAAGAATTGATCAAGCATCATGTTTAAACAGCTTCTGTAAAAGAGCAGCACTAACCTTAATCTTTAAATTCAGAAACCAGTCTAATTTGACTTTCTACAGGCAGTGGCGAGGGATTTCTGCATCCACCACAGTCAATCAGAGCAAGAACAACCAAAATCCCCCTTGCAGGCGACTAGGACTTTGACATGATAGTTAACAGAGTTTCCCATTTAGCAACTACACTCAGCATGCAACTGTACGCATTAGCGGCCAATCTATTCAGCACGAATTGCATTAAGCATAGTTTAGATTCCCATGCAGCTCACTTCAATTACACTGTAAGGCACAGCCTAATCTGAGTCCTGTTCTATGAGGGTCTTGATGTCCTCCTACCCACCCAGGCTATAACAATACAAAAGGTGCTAGAAGCCCTTAAGATCCCTCCCTAAGAGGATTATTAATTCATCTTAAGAGTTTTAAATCAGTCCTTCCCTCCCATTTCTCTTCCAGTAGTATTCTGGGCACACCACATGGAAGATGCACTTACAAAAACAGAAGAAAACAGCAGAAACACCTCATGGACATCTTAGATGGCCGGATTTTTCAGAAAACAATCTGCACCAAACTTCCTTAACTCTTCTGAAAAGATGTTTGTTTGGGAAAATCTTTATAATTTAGTTTTGTTTTCAAGCAGCCATTTCCTTTGACCCCTTAACTACCTTTTAAGGAGACCATAGAATATACTTACCATCTAACCATTAGCCCAAGCTCCATGAAGTGTTTCAGGTTGGGAAGAGTTTGCCTTAGGTCTGGAGTACTCAGTCCATGCTGATATCTAAGCTACAAGGACAGAAAAAAAAAAATTAGCAAGGCCTTCCAAGTCCCAGATTCCAGTGATTATGATTAGTTAATTTACTAGCTTTTCAAAGAAAGTGCAGGATTATCAAGCAATTCTGAGAGATCTATTACCTTAAAGGAAGTGTTCTATTTAATAATCCTATGACTTCATACTAGGAAAATCCACCCAAGAACAGGGATAAAAAAAGAGAGTCAATTCAACTGTTAAACTTTTTAACATTTTTCCCCCATTTCCYATCTGTAATAGGAGAGGAGCCTCACAGCTTAACAAAAAAAGGTAGCTATTAAGCAAGCAGACCCAACTTCAACTTTGCCAATTCTGAAAGTTTATTTGTGCGTTAGTGTCATCTGTCATCCAAAATGTATCAATATAACACTGAAATCATCATAGGAACATCAACTAGCTGAAACAGCGTCACACAGCTGAGCCAAGTCTGTGTTCTCATAACAGCTTATATCAACATTTAAGCTGATGGCTGTTCACTTAATTAAACCCAGCACTCAAATATAAGGCAACGCAGCAAAAATAAAAACGTTTTTGACGTGGATTTATTGTTACTCAAGTAGTAATTCCTAGGAGGAGGGGGGCAGAAAGAAATTAAAAGGTTCCATACACAGACTCCATGGGAATGCAACACACTTCAATCCTCATGTTATCAAATGAAGTACATGTGATACCTGTCAGTGTCACTGCTGCTAATTAAAATTACTTCTTTGCAAAGTCCTTAAATTAAAAAAAAAAAAAACTCTTAAGAAATAGGAGCATAGAGGAAAAAAACTTGTTTGAAGGCCAAGCTTCAAGAAAATTTTGCAGTGGAATTTATCACTCCTGCAGTCACTACAGAAAATATTCCTGAATTCCAGACTTTAAAGGATGCTATTGGAATGAAGCAGTACCAAACTGCTAYACAGCTGTCAACAGATGTTACATGCAAACCCTCAGTCACAGCTGGCCCAAGATACATTTACATGGACAACAAATTTGACACTGATATAAGTAGGTGTTGAAGCACAAGGAACAGTCCTCTTTGAATTTAAATGTTCTTYGAGCTGCACACCTGTTTCTGTAATTTACAGGAGTTGGGTGCAAATAAGAGATTCACATTGAACCAGGAATTCACCTGAATTTTCCTAAATGATGGGCTAACCTTTTTCCTTCCCACTGCCCCAAAATATCTTGAAATCAAGAACTATTTCTGTGCTTGTCTTTCTTTAGAAAGAAAGATCACTTGGGAAGAAAATCATCCTCAGCACTGAATTGTACAACAGGAGGCTATTTATTACATAGTTTATTATTTCCATATGGACACAACCAAGTCATCTGGTGGACTTGGTTTCATATTTTCTGCCACAACGACAGAGCCTGGATTAAGACAACGATAGGATATAAATTACTAAACGATCACCACATTCTCCTGATGAGATTACAGTAGATTGGGTTAACTAGAAAACTGGCCTGAGGTAAAAGAAAAAAAAAATAAATTGAGAGATATTACATTTGTTTTTCTACACTAATCAAATGTTTATAAAATACCATTTTTTATTAGTCATCCTTAAATTCTAAGGTTTCCTACCATAAAGAGGACTGGATTAAGGGATCTCTGTTTCAAATGGTCAAGATCAGATGAATGCACGAGACAATTGTATCAAACACAAACAAAAGTTTCTGAAAAAAAAAATCTATTTCTACTTTGTAACTGGTTAAAAGCCAAAGCAATATTGCCTTAAGTGCTCATATTAACACAAGATGAGAATTAAAAGGAGCTCAAAGATACAGCCTAGCATTATGGAAGAAAAAAGACAAAAAGGAAAGCAATGAAATATCAAATGTGGGCAGGAAAACAAGAACAGGAAGAGGTTCTGCATGCCCTTTTGATTCCCTTTAAAAAAATCAAGATCAAATTTCAATTGTTGCTACTCAGTATCACCCACCTCCACCTGCCTCCCACTAAGTTTCCAAAGGGACTGAGAATCATTTGCAAAGTGCACATTGTTTGAAGATTAGATTGTGRCTTCAGGGCATTAGGGACCTGGCCATGCTGGTTGCCCAAAGCAAAACTGCTTGTTTAACTGTGGTGAGCAAGTGCCCATGTTTTGTGTCCAAATTTATGTATCCTCAATGGATCAGAGACACAAGGATTTCRAGTCATGGATGATGTTCGGGTGTAAGAAGTGTTAACTGCTATTCCCTTACCAGTATTTACCTTCTATATTGAGCTTTGATTTCYCATTGCCTTATAAAATACTGCCTGATCAAACAAAAATATAGTTAACCTGAGAAATCAGTGACCTAAGGTCATTAGACACTTTAGAAAGGAGCTTRAATCTGCTCTAATACTATTAGCAACACACAGTAACGTGTTATTAGGGGATAACACCAAGGATTTAAATGCTGCAAAGATATTAACTGTGAAAAATCAGACAGTATGTGCAGCTGTCAGCAACCATCTAGAGAAACTGCTTTTGTAAAACAGGAATTTTTGATTTTCCCGAAGAATTTCAAGAAGCATCTCTCCAAACAAAYATCGAGACATTGGAGACGGACCCAGAATAATCCTGGCATTAAGACAGATCTATCAAACTGAAACATGTTTTATATTATGCTTCCTATTTATTCCAAGATGATGAATAGCCACGAACCTTGAAGGGAGCGAAGTTTAAAGCAATGACTTAGAGAAGGTGGATTTATTCTAACATACAACTTTTCYGATATAAAGGTTGACTCAATTTCATTTAATAAAATTATTCCAATTAACAACTGCAGTATAGGTGAGGCCTGACAAACGTGGCCATATTTATTTAAATTTAACTCCCGGGGAAAACCATTTGCTTGTTCCAGCTTCTATCTAACGTTCCTTCCATATGACTTCTACTGGAACAAGAGGCTCTCAACAGTGAGTCCCCTYCGTGCTAACTCACCTTGAACATCTCTAAATTATTACAGGTATCCAAGCAATTTAAAAGTAATTTATGTTGTCAGAGATATACACTTAATTAACATGACTATAATTAATGTAATTAAACAAAATTTTAATAWTCTTTCTAGCAATTTCTGGGAAGATAAAACATTCACTCACCAGATTGTTAACAAACAGGATTGCGAATTTRAAATACACACTTGCATGGTTCCAGTTACCCTTATAAAGCCCATAAGATACATACTAGAAGTCAAGTTTTTCAATTAAGTTAAAAAGCAGAAAAACAACAACAAATCTTTATTGCTGTCTTATTTCTGTGTAATAGCAGATTGTCTCTCAGATCCAAATTCAGGGTTATGTCATTAATGATGCTGGGGCTCTTGAGAAAAATAATGATACCCTGAGTTCAAGTACAAAGAAAAATAACTCCTTCCTATTCCTATTATCTCCCTTAACAGTATTTAATGAGTAATAGAACATAACTATTTACCTCCAGCCAGAAACCACAGAGCACCTGGATTACTATATCCTTTACTGGCATCTCAGAATGACTCCAATTTTGAAATCTGTTCATTATTTACCCTATTTTGTATCCCAAACTATACTCATCACGTTCAATGATATATAGGAGCAGGCTTAAAACTGAGAATGTTAAAGTCCAAAACACCAGACACTGCAGTAGTGACTGTGCTTAATATCAGAGTTTCTGCCAAAGCTTACAGCATTTTTGTTTCTTTTAGCCTCCAATTATGATATTTCAGACAACTGTTGTATCAGCTTGGGAGACAATCATACCAGCCCAAGAGATGTGCACCATGCACACTCACAGATTGTTAGGGCTGATAAGAACCATTTTGAATTTTTAGTTAAACAAAATGTTTTTGTTTTCTTCCCTTCCTTGATAGCATCAATTTCAGAGGACAATTGCTCCACAAGTGTGAAAACACCAGAACAAAAATAGAAGCAAAAGTGTTCTCTTAATCATGCCTACTGCGCTAGGTAGAAGTTAAGCATTTTTAATAAAGTTGTCAGAGAATGTCAAATGCTGGGACTCAAATCCAGAACGTGAGTTCTAATGAAATGACACAGTTAATTGTTTTACAAGATCCTGGATGACTTTTCAGAGTATGGAGGAACACTGGCTGGGATTCAGATGACTAAGCACTGCAGTAATGAAAATGAAGTGCTGTTATAATGCCTGTTGCTATATAAACAACCATGGGGGAGACCACCAAAATACCACCTGCTGCTATATTCACAGTTCTGTGTGTTTATACCTTTTGGGAGAAATTATAAAATTTGAGATTTTTCACACTCTAACATGTTTGTCACTTAAGTTATTGAGACTGCTCTAGCTTTGAACTAGAAGGGTTTGCTGAAAAACCCTTACACACACACACACACTAAGAGCTCTGTATCAGTGCTTCAAGTAGCATAACCTATTAAATCAGTGCTTCAAGTAGCCAAACCTATTAAATATGAAAAAAAGAAAGTGAATTTTAAAGACTATTACAATSTAATCAGCTTGCAAGCAAATGTAGCCTTCTTAAGGCTCTTGGGAAGTAGCAGMGAAAAGTCATACAAGAAGCATATAGGAAAACAGGAAGATAAAAAAATCAAGAACTCTTCAACCTTGTTTTCAGAAGGGATAAAGGAGACTACAACAGTAAAGACAGGGCTCACGCAAGCACGAGGAAGCCTTMCAATACACAGCTATTTTTACAGAAATGTTGCTTTCTATCACTATATGCCAAGACCTGCTTCCCTCTCCCAAGTCATGTCAATGATGTTCAGAGGTCCACCCTGAAAAGCAGATGTTTATTTGGCAGTTCTTAAAAGAGTAGTGAATTGAGAAGAAAAACAAGTTATATCAACAACACTGAAGACCCATGTCCTTCACTAATCCATAGAGCACGAGCATTAAAACTCCTCAAGCTGAGCCAGTGGGCTTAAATAAACAAAGAAAGCCCTCAAAACTGCTCATTAAAATCATCTTAAAAGACTCCCATCACCATTTTGATTTAACAACAAATAAGGCACACAAACAAAAATCAAAGCAGTAAT